TTTTTTTTTTTTTTAAAATTTTATTTGCAATAATAATTTCTACATTCATTTGAGATATTATCGCTTAAGAAGTAATAATTAGATCTTATCAATGAAGGATAAATTGTAACAGTAATACTGTTGATGCCATCTGTTGACACAAATAGCGCATGAATCAAAGGAAATGAAGTTGTTATTTATCGTTATCAAGAAATGATCGAAAACTATCAGAAGAATGATGTGCAAGAGTATTTTTGGGAAATTTAAATTATCTACAAAATTAAAATTCAAAATTATCTATCTTGTTTATTAACAGATATTTACAAAAATCTTTTAGCATTCATAAAACTTATCAGATTCATACTTTTGAAACCTTATCATTTAGATTCTTACTTAAGACTTATAAATCACTAAGCTTATCACATCTAGCATCAATACAGTGCAAAATAGAATTGTCCTTAGGAATTATTCCATCGTTATTTGTTCAGTAGTTATTCCATGCTTATTTTACTTAGTAGTTATTTCATTGTTAGTAGACCAACAAATCATCCAGCGTTGTTCGACTAGTAAATTGTTCGGTCAGTAGTTATTTCATCGTTAATTGATTAGTATTTCTATCATTATTTGATTATTAAATCATCCCATTGTTATTCGATCAGGAATTATTCTATCGTTAATTGATTAGTATTTCTATCATTATTTGATTATTAAATCATCCCATTGTTATTCGATCAGTAGTTATTCCATCGTTAGTTGATTAGTATTTCCATCACTATTTGATTATTAAATCAGCCCATTGTTATTCGATCAGTAGTTATTCTATCGTTAATTGATTAGTATTTCCATCATTATTTGGTTATTAAATCATCCCATTGTTATTCGATCAGGAATTATTCCATCGTTAATTGATTAGTAAATTATTCGTTATTTGATCAATAGTTATTCAATTATTATTCAGTCTATCTCATTTTTTGCTAGGTATTTATACAATTCACAATTTACATGAAGCATCATTGCTTGCTACGATAATTTTTTCCTAATCACATGACTTCAATTCTTACATCCTAGATATTTCCTGATTTTCTCATATTATTTCTTCGCTAATTTAATTATCTTTTATATTTCATTACTAATCAATTTTTTTTTCTTTTTATTTTCACAACTACAACAATACTTGAAATATACAAATTTTCCCATGATTATTATTGTCATCATGATTATTACTGCAATCATCATTATCGGTAATATTGTTGGTGATAAAATTATCATCACCATTACTGTTATAATATTATTTTACTTACATCACTATTGCTAGTGATATTGCTATCATTATCATCATTTCTATTAATACCATTAACCTTATCATAATTTTCAATCTTATTATCATAACTATCATAATAATAATTAACAATGGCTGTTATAACACCAACCATTACTTGTTTTTTTCAAAATTAAAAAATCCTACATTATAAATGAAATAATGATTATCAGACATTTGTAAAAACATAATACTTATTCTTGTTTATCATTTTCAATTTATCAATTCTGATCCTGAAAGATTAATTTAATTTTCCTTTTTTTTTTCTTTTTTCTAAAAAGAATTATCAAATTTGACATACCCTTTTGTTGTAAATTGAAGCAGATGAAAGACGATGTAATGCTTGGCTAAATACAGCACTGACAGGTCGTCGACGTTGCTTATTATTATTATTATTAGTAGATGATGATGATGATGTTGTTGCTGTTGTTGTTGTTGTTGTTGCTGTTGTTGTTATTGTCGTATTTTCCACATTATTCAAATCAATATTAGTTCGTGTTTTACCAAAAAGTCGATTTAGAAGAACGGATGAAGTTATATGTAATTTACATTGTTCAATACCAGATGAATGACGATTTGATGATATAGGTATTGATGATGAAATATTTGTTGGAATTACAGTAGTACGATGTTGTTGTGGATGAATTGTTATTGATGAAGAGAAATGTGACGAAGTTAATTTTGGTGGATTTATAATCGATGATATTGGTTTAATAAGAGCTGCTGCATGAAAAGCATTCTCAAGTACAGATTCAATTTCTTCAACCTGAAAAAAAAAATTTTTTTATTTAAAAATTAAATTATTATGAAATTTTGTTCCGAAAATTTTTCTTTTTATTATTTTTATTTATTAATTTCCTTGGAAAAAGAAAATTTTTTTTAGTTATCAACAAAAAAAAACCAATACGAAAATTTTTAATAAAATATCTGATAAAACTGATATGATCATTTGTTACAAATATAAAAATGTCAAAAAGATTGCTAAATTAATCTCATCAATTTGTATTCGAAATTTCTAAATTGGATTAAATATGGAATTTAAATTATTTCAATACATTATTTATTTAATACAAGCTTTACAAAATGATATGATCATTTGATGCAAATATGAAATAACAAAAACAATGTTAAATTAGTATCATCAATTTGTATTCAAAATTTTTAAATTGGATTAAAAATGAAATTTAAATTATTTCAATACATCATTTATTTAATATAAGCTTTACTTTCTTTCATTTTTTTTTTTTGTTTTTACTTTTTATTTTATTTTTTTTTATTTTTGATATCCTATCAGTTTAGATGCAATAAATAAATAAATCAATAAGTAAAACTTTCTAGTGTTTCGCAATATATATATATATGAAAAAGCATTGAAATATATGACAAATTAAATTTACTATTTCAGATTACATCATTTAATTAATTTTCATTTAATATGCTCTAATAGTTAGCTATTTCAAATTAATGTCTAAGAAATTTTATAGCAAATTATTCAGAAATTCAAATATTATTTAGGCTAAAAATTTTAAATGCAAAGAAAAAAGAAAAAAAAAGGAAAATTTTTGGAAGGAAAAAGATCAAATGATGACATTTTAAGGATGCGTAAACAAGCAAATAAAGTGAAATGACAAGAATTGTGATAAATAGGAAGAAATAAGAAATGGATTTTCTTCAAATGTCGGCGCAAATGACAATTGAAAATCGGTGGATGTTTATGCAAACAGTTGCTTAAAAAATGGAACTCTCTCCCTCCTTCCTCTCTCTCTCTCTCTCTCTCTCTCTTCT